CAAGGTAGAGCAGATATTACGTTACAGAGCACGAAATATCATAGTAATGTATTATGTAAAAGCTGTAATAAAGTATGCGTAATAAAGTTAATGCGTTATAAAATAATTCAGAGAATAACAATTCTCTAGGCTGGGCTTATGAATTACAATGTAATTATGGGAAATATGGGATAAACAGGGAACACCGTCATTCAGAAGAAAATCCATCTGTCGAGATGGAAAAGATGGATGATTGCGGACGAGCCTGAGCGACATGTGTTAACCAGGCACCTATGAGAAACAATGCCTCACCCCTTCAGCATAGTCAAGAAACAGTGCGAAAAACCTCCGTGTTTGTGCAGCACTCAGAAAGGCCTTGACACTCTCCTTTATGGTTAGCATGTGGCGACATCATCAAAGGAAGACACTGATTGCGGCGCAGGCATTTGGTGCTGCGACAATGTACATCTTGACAAAGAATAAGACTTTACCCGGATAGGATGAGTAAACTACTTAACCACCAGCACGGACACAAGGCATGCCTTCTGGCTCTAATCCTACCAGCCTCTGCGGATAAGAAAAGCCACCGAAATGTCCTACCTTGAAGAAGGCTCGTCAGACACGGGCCGAAACATGAGTAGTGGTCAGTCATCTGATTGACCATATTATTTTTAGCGTTGTATATTATGACGTCATGTTTTATTCTGTTTTTTGGCCGCCGTTGCCAGGAGCGCCTTCTTGTAGTCGATGCGAGCTAAACAGAGAGGCATATTTCATATTCGTTGCACTCGTCCGTCAGCTGTTGAATGACGTCTATACTGGATAATAGAAAACCGTGTGCAAAAGTCGGCCGTTTTACCGACTTGCGATTAGTTCGAGGTCTCTTCAAGTACGGTTGAGGTGTTGCGGATGAACACTGTAGATTTGCGGCAGGCATGTAATTGGTCGATAGTTTTTCAGGTGTTCAGAACCGCCTTTATTCATGAGAAAAATCGTTCTTAATGTCTTCCTCGATGTTTTAGTCATCTTGTTTTACCTCACGAATTCCGTCAAACGTTTGGCAAGCGCTTTAAACCGAACTGCTCTGCCGTTCATCTTTTGCGACATTGATCGTGACAATGGAATGTTTAAACCTGAAATCTGGCCCTTTACAAACCATATTCTGGTCCATGGCCGACACGTCCGATATTATGTCTTTCCTGTGAGTTGGTACATTTTCCGTTTGCTTTACAAACTTTCCATCTGGGCTTCTCCATATTCATTGTCACTTTTAAGCTTTCTGGCAAGTGGTATTCATTGCATGGATGTAGTTGCTTTCAACAAAAATAACAAAGCCATCTCGATGTTCATTTCTGTCGCTTTTTGCCTATTTTCCTATAAATGTCTACCTGTCGTTTGTTTTTATCTTTACCACTGAAGTCTGTTTGCATTCGCGCGCTTAGTTCTCTTCTCTATTTCACTTTGAAGTTTCTAGTGCTGTGCTTGGCTGTAAGCTTGGATCATTTTTACTGTTCTTCCTATGTTCTTCTGTAGAAGAAGAAGTTATATTTGAGGTGATATAGTATCAGAGCTCCCTACAGCCTTCAGCCTTCCCTTTTGTTATGGACCCAGTGCTGTCGGTCGTTCTGAGCTCGGTTATTGAAGGCCTACTGGAGGAACACTTGGCCACCATTGTTGCACTGCACTATAAATTTGGTAGATCTTCAGGTCTTGTGTATTCAAATGATGTCTGCATTGATTTTCTTCATTTCGACGTTACAGACGTCGGCAAATAAGCTTCGGTCCGGGTCCATTTATCAGTCGCGCCATGTGGTTTACCGCTTCCTAAATGTTTCTCAGACCGATGTAGTAGCCTGCACCTATTTTCAGGATTTCCGTCCATGTGTGAGCATTTTTTGAATAGTAATTTTAATAGCAAATCGTCATGAATTATCACCAACATTTCCCACCCTTTTATCCTGCCCAACGGCTTCAAGGTTTGGTCGCGGAAAGACATCTTTGGCTAGTGGCGGTTAGCACCACCGCCTTGTTGCTGAAATAACAAATACTTTACCGCTTCATGGTTTTTCTTATCATTCTCTTCTGAGGTATGAGGACCATATACCGAGTACACAGATTAATTGTCTGACGCTCTGGTTTCTCAGAATGATTTAGGTGATGTTTGTTGCTGCGGCAAAAGTCGTGCTAATCGTCGCAAACAGGTTTACCTCTGGCAGCTGCTTTAGGGCGCGATGTTGACCTCCGACGCGTCTGCGGCTATTTTTTGCTTTCCAGAAGAAACTGGTTTTGGATAGGTCTCCATTCTCGCTGGATGGTTCTTTCAAACCCCGACAGAAGTCGGTCCCCTGGTTTCATTCATAAGCAGCATATTTTGGCCGGTAATCTCCTAGATTTTTTCATTCTTCATTCGATAGAACTATCGCACTTCCAGAATGTTTCTTAGGCAACACCACCGAACATTTTTCGGTGATGTTTTAAAATGGTGAATTTTTCGAGGCTGTACATCAGGACTGAAAAGGTGGCGGCTTTCGGTATGGTGATTTTTGTTGCTGTCCGTAGATCGGTCTTGCCACACTTTAAGACGCTGCCCGCTTTATGGCTGAGGGTACCTATTGACACAGACTTTTAACGCGTTTATTATCAAGTCATTTCGCCAGTCCTGCCGTAGGGTCGTCGGGGTGCAGCTGATTTAACTCTTTATTTGTACCCTCACGATGCTAAGACGCGCATAGTGAAGCGCATTGGCATTAAGAGTGTTAACATCTGTTATATGTGGTGTTTTCAGTCATAAAGTGGCAGAGTACCTCTAATCGTACAGTCATTCGTATGGAGTATTAGTACATGCAGTCGTCGGTTTTCTTAGTTCTAAGGACATTCACACAATTACAGAAGCAATCGGAATTCTCGCATTTGTTATTCATGTCTCAAATATTGACCTCCTGAATCCTAGAGGCTGACTGCTGGCTGGAAGTAGCCGTGATTGCATTTATGTTCGGCCTATATCCTCACCCAGCTTCCGAACGCTACCTTTTTGCTGTTTTGTACTCAGCAACTTTTGGCGCTTGGGCCATTCGGAATTTTCTTTTACTAGTTAATTTTTTTTTGTTTTATGTGTGCTGTGGAAGATGTACTACAAATGAAGTGAAAATAGTTTTTCGTGCATGATTAAAACTCGCTTTTGATCTGATTGCTAATCTTGACGGTTTTATATATGTGCGATGATTTTCAGGTTGAGCATCGAACGTCCGAAGTTGGTCATCTTCTAGTGCTTGCTTGACGGCTGCCAGTGTTTCGGTTAAAACAACTTTCGCTTACGACTAAAATTCAGGTATCACGTGTAGTGCAACTGTCTGCTGCCGTTTGATGCTGCCCCACCACCAGAATCAGAACGGTGGAATTGGCGCATCGAACTTCATGTCGCGTCTTGTGTCCATCGCCGGACCATCGAGTGAAGGGCGTTCGCCAACGACCAAGGATACGGACACGGAAATGACCGATTCACCGCCGGCAACGACCGCTACCGCAAAGTGCTTCTCTCTGGATTACGACAGTACCGCTGGCGTCAAAGCAGCGAACGTGTATCGATTCGGCGGCGGCTCATTGGACTACTGTAACAACAGATCCATGGAGGTATACCAATTTTTCTAGCTGAAAGCTGATTGCTTCCAAAGACGGTCCTGGTGAAACTGTAAAAGTAAATACCATGAGTGACTAAGTGAGCCCCCTTGAGTCACTAGCCCTTTAGGCCATGATCCCTCGATGCATGACTAATACGACTGTGGTTTACGTTCCTTTGTGCCGACTCACTTAGCACTCTTTGCAGATGAGACGCCAGGCCAGGATAGCTCCTTCCTCATGCCCACCCATGGGTCAGTCGGTTTCCCGTCGATGATAGCCACTTGTTTACGATCTTGTGATTTTCGTTCAAACTGCGCCCGATGCATGGCTTGACGAAGCTCGTTAAACTACTGTTCGAGTGCATTACACGGTAACGCAGTTTCAGGCGTTAATGGAACCGATACACCCAAGCCAGATCGACTTGAACATCAGCTCTAATGCAGATGATTCTTTGTTTTCTGAGTATGTTCCATTTAACCGTGGTCTGCCATTTGACTCAATTGCCTTTACCTTTCTCAATCTTCAGTAACTCCTCGCAGCTTCATATCGCTCTTGACGACGTTGCGTCATGCGCTTCTTTAGTCTTCCCTTTCTTTCGTTCTCTGACAGTATCAGTGCTTGGACCACATTTCCAACGTACTCGATTGGTCTTCTTTTCACGTGACCGAACTGACGGAGTCTGCTTTCAGAAAGCTTCTCTAAAATTGGTGCTACCCGTAGAGTGCCTCTTATGAATCTGTTTCGGATGTGGTTCTTTCTGCTGGCACCACACATCTACCTGAGCATTCGCATTTCTACCGAGTTTAGCTGTCGCCCGTGTCTCTTCCAAGTAGCTAAACATTCCACTACGTAAAGAGGCACCTCAGTCTTACTGTGGTTCTGTGCTCCTTCCTTTTTATTTTGATGGGCATTTTCATATCGCACAGTACTTCGCGCATCTCTCTACATTTGCGCTGCGCTTTTTTAGACCGACTAGTTAATTCCTGTTGATTTCGCCACTGTATTTCAGGATGGAATCAGAAAACCTGAATATACATATATATATTCAGCACCATTCCTCTTAACGTCTTTTGTGCACTTCATTTTACCCATGTCTACCTGTTCTTCTTTCTCTGACTTTTGCTATGCGACCGATGTTTTTTCCCCTTCCTCCGTTGCCAGTTTTTCGTATAACCTATTACCACCCATAAACCGGTTCGGCGTCGATTTTCCTTGCTTTTCTCTTCGTTAAGCATATTTTGCTCCCCGCTGCCTGACAGCTGTCATTTCTTGAACAGCTTTTTTTCTGTTGTAGAACTACTTCCAATTCCGCATTCCACCACCACGTTTCTTTCTGGAGATTTGTTTTGCCTTTTATTTCTCTGACTAGATCGCTGGCATTCTCTATGATTATGCTGGCCACTCGATCCCATACTTGTTCCAATTTTTTGTTGAAGGCTTTCTTCGTCATTTTCTAGTACCTTCTATTTTGAACGCTTTTTCAACTTCTCTTAAAGCTGCAACCACTGTGTCTTTCGGGGCTATCGTCGTTGCTTACCGTCTGAATGGGTTGTTTCAGAGACACAGGTCTAGGACCTGTAGCTGTTGTTGGCCTGTAACAGTTTCCACGGAGGTAACTTTGCAATCTCTGACGTTCTTAACTTCATCCCTTCGGAGTAGGCAGTAGCCGATCCGATTTTTCGTCTTTCGCTCATGTAGGTTAGCAAGTGGTTTTCTGTTTTCTGAAAGAACGTGTTTATCAGAGCCAGATCATATGCAACTGCCACCCGCAATATGTTCTCTATTTCTTTATTTAACATACCATGTCTGTCTCCGCCATGGTTCCAGTCGCAGCCCCGTCGGTGTTTCCTGACGTGCCCATTAAGGTCACCCCAGGTTAACACTTTTTCCCTTCGTGGTATGTTTTGCAGTGCCAGATCTAAGCTTTTCAACAATATCGACTTTTTGGCTTCTTTATGGCCAATGTAAGGGGCTTAGGTACTTATTATATTTAACATGCCACTTTTCAAAGTCAGCTTAATGCCCGTGATTCTGTCGTTAATTAGGTTGACTTCGAATACCCCATTTTTGGTCGTTTCATTCAGTACCACTCCAACTCCATTTCTTCTGATTCATGTTCTACAGTAAATAAGTTTTTAACCGAGCCCAATCTCTTTCGACTTCTCACCTTTCCATTTTTTTCGTGAATGCAATCGATGAGAACTTTTTTTTCTATGAAGAGCTTCCGCTCGCTCCACATCTCTCCATCAATGCTCCAATGGCATGAAATTCTTTGTGTGCGTTTGTGTTTCTTTCTCACTCTTTCTTTCTCAGTGATTGCCATCGTTCCATCTACTGTTTCGCTAGCTCATTTTTTACCGCTGTCGAAATTTGCTGCTGCACGTCGCCTGTATGAAACGCCGTATTATTTTCTGTAGAAATAAGTTGACTCATCATATTTGGCTTTGGCATTGGTTTTTACGGCTGGCTGTCTGTTTGACGCTAACCGGTCTTTCTTAAGTGAACGTGGAACAGACTACTGCTCGTTGGGCTCCGCAGTATACTTATTTCATGGTGGCATGTACTCGCCATGTGACTACGCTATCATCGGGTGTTACGGTATTTTACAGAGCCAACTTTACCAGTACTTGACTCGCTGCAGCCCCAGTAACACTATCACCACGTTGTCTGGGTAGCTGATTACTCGTTCGGTTCACCGCATATTTGTGTGAAAGTCCACTGTTGTCCGATTATTCGCAAGCTGTGGACGCTCTCGAACCGGACACCGCACGGCCAGTGCAGATGGTAACTTATTATAATTCCACCCTACCAGTGTACAGACGTTATTGTGTTGCTTCTGACACTTCAATGATTTAAATTGACCATTTCGTCTGGGCTGTGCTTGGAATAAAAAGTTTTGATCTGTGCGTTCGAAGACAAAACGTGGATCCTAAGCCTGTAAACCATTCACTAACTCGAGATTACGCAACGCAGCATGAAAAGGTGTATGTTGCTGCTAGCAAGAAAAAATATGAAGACGAACGAATTAGTAAAAGCAGAAACGGAGTATGCGATTCCATTGCTTGAGTGAAGAGGCTAAAGGACACCATCGGCAGACACATGGCAAGAAGTAGTAGCGACCATCGCTGCCGCAGATAGACATTAGGCTTATTTTCACTAGACAGTAAATTGCCTTAGGAAAATCGCCAGATCGATGGCACGACGAGATAAAGAAATTCGTTGGACCAGGATGGCTAAGAATCCCTGAAAACAGAAATTTTGGCAGTCTTGAAGAAGCCTTCAGCTAGCAGTAGATTGAAAAAGTTGAGTTGATGGTGATTATACCTTATTAAAATCCAAGATCCCAATTTAAACCAAGATATTCAGTCTGACTAAAGCTGAACCCTTGCGGGGTTTATTCTACCGTTCTTTCCCTGGTTCTTAGAGACCCGGAAGGATAGAAAAAGTTTTAGACTGCGGCGAACAATAAAAAAGTGCGAGGGCATGACACTGGAGGAACTATGGTGAGGTGTGAATTCTAAGACGCTACGATAGCCACCGCAGTGTGTATAGTCGGCTAATGTATCTTTAGTAACCGGGATACACAGAGCTGTTTAGCCCCTGCTGGTGATTTTATTAGCGAAGGGTTGCGGGTAGCGACCGAATCCGTACGAATCTAAAAAAGGCATGTGCAACATTTTCCTTCATACCGTTCAGCTTTCGAACAGCGTGGTAGTGCCAACCAACTTTATCTTGTCACGACTTTGAAAGCGATAAGTTTATGTCTTCAAGGAAGCGACAGAGCTGGATTACTGACTTGTCCACTGCTTACAGGGCAACCAAAATGGCAGCAGTTGCAGAACACAGCATGTAGCATAGAAAACTGAAACTAGGTATGTTGTCGATGAGGAGTGACTGCTTCTCGACTCAGTAAAAAGGGGATCTCGACGATCTTAAGTAACTTTTCGCGTTGTAAAGCGGTTGACTATAACGATGACGAAACAAACAGAGCAAATCCGAACAGATGGAGACGAGTGACGAGTAAATCGGACGGAAGATCCATACGTTGTTTGATGGACTTTGCCGGAGAAAAAAATGCGATCCTTATCGCTAGTCCAAACTTATGAAACTTGTCGCAGTAACGTTGTCTAAGCTTGCGGATTCTTGTGGTTACCTCTCGGAACGGATGAGGACATTGGTCATTGTAATAGTATCTGTTGTACTATGTTCACCGTTAGCAGTCGAATTAACTTTATTTCCTTTTGTTCGTCATTTCGTGCGTTTTGTGGCATGCGCTGCATTCTTAAGAAGAACAACTACTCCAAATGTAGATCTGCTTCTGCCTGTTCATCCATGTTGCATTTTGACCTCATGGTCAACGTTTGCTTATTTCAGTTTCAACGTGAAAACCTCGTGGGTTGGAATAAATATTCAACCAGTTTGCTTAGCAAGGCCGTTTCCTGATCTTTGTCTATATGCTTGTCACGCTGGACATCGGAGTCTTTCTTTACATGGTCTTGATCCTGCTATTTAACTCTCGTTATTCGTAGAGCGACGTCAGCGCGATGTTATTGCCTGTTATTCAATCAGGGCACATATTCCTTGGCCAAAATACTGTCCATGGTTAAGACGGTTTTTATGTTGTAGAACAAAACCGAGCTAGACTATAGGTAGACTTTTTCTTAAGGATGTTCATTTCTCAGCGCAAATTCTGGATATGCCACCAAGAGCAGTTAATCAGCGGTAAATGATTGCTTGATGTCTGAAGTACAAAAATCTGAGAAAGCTTTGGTGTACGCCGCTGCTTCTTCAGATTGAAAAATCACAGCTGCGATGGGTTTGGGCATGTGTTGCGAATGCCTCCAGAAAGGAAGGCGAAGCAACTATTTTTGCCCAGCCGACCGGCAGAAGGCCCAGGGGACGGCCACGATTAATTAACCTGGTGCAAATATGTCGAAGGAGTCTGTTCCAGACTCCGGTTATCTTCAACCGAAGTTTAAAATCTGGTACAGGATCGGTCGGAAACGTTAGAAGCACGGTCTGATGGGTCT